TAATCTTTTAGACCATAATATTGAACGAGATACATCTTCTTGTTATATTTCTTTTATGGAGTGTCTGAAGGTGTTAAGTTCTCTCGGTTTAGTGTTAGCTGGATTGGTTTTATGCTGTTGCTCAGCTTTCCGTAGAGCTGATTACAATTCCAGTAATAATTTTGTTTTAGTATGCTTATTATATGTGGTTATTTTTATGAAGTGTCCCTGGATGACAGACTTGTGAGCCGCCCATACCATAATAAGAGTCGTGTCTGGATTTGTGTTGACCTCGAAATATTCTTTGAGAGCTGTTCGGGTCGTATCTTGTGTAGTTTCATATTTTAGGAGGTTGGTCCCTGGTTTTGAGCTGCGGTCAACCGACAGACATGGTACTGCATTAAAATCTCCTCCAAAAATAGCAACACCTCCCCCCGCTCCAGAGACCAGTGTCTCTAAATTTGCCCAGAATAAGGAATCTGGTTCGATGGGAGCATATACGTTGAGGATGTATATTTTAGTGTTATAAAGTGTTATCCAATGTAGTTGTATCACCCCTCGCGCATCCTTTTTGCCTCATATACTGTTGTGTATGTCTTGTCAATCAATCTGACGGGTGCCGACCTGTGTAGGGGAATCGCCTGCATTAGTACAATATCCACTTTTTTGGCTTTTACATCTCTCGGGAGCAGTCTGCGTTTGTTTGGGGAATTTAGTCCTTTGACATTAAGTGGTAGGATCTTCAATGTCATTATATAATGTGTTTAGTTTCGCAGTAGTAGTGACAGCGTGATCCCTGAGGGTCTGTATATTGTTCCCGCGGATATAGCGCAGAACAGGTCTCGAGTGGGGCCTTTTGCCCTCCTCTCCAGCGACGCGGGCAGTAGTCGTGTCCTAGTCTGGGAGTAGAGATCATTTAAGTGTATGAGAGGTTCAGAGATAGAGAAAGTAGTAAAGTTCAAACATATTAAACAGAAACAATAACAGTATAATCTGGTCTTATTCCTTGCCAGATCAGATTGGGGGGATGTGCCCCCTTGCATGTCGAAAACATCTTCACCATTCAGCGATGGCGACGCACCGCTAGATTCCACTGTGCACAGTTCTCACATTAACTTGTCAACAGTAACTCATTCAACGTCCTTTAGCAGTTCGATATATTTCCCCGCTGCCCTATGTCTGGTGTACTCCCTTCTCTGGCCTTGTCATCTAGGCCGTGCTTGATGATTTGGCCCTTCCCTCACCTCCCTCCCCCCCGTTGGCTACTCTCTCACTTAGAAGCCATGAATTATGTTTTGAATATTTTTATTGTATGCATAACATAGGTTCATACGTCAAACTGATTTGTAACAAAGCAAGTGGTTGCCCACGCAGGGGCTCAAGCATTGGTTCAACACAGTATGTAATTTTGGTTGCCTACGCAGAGGCGAATCCGTCTTAGCCTGTTTAGCTTATCCTGTTTTACATATACATTTAGTTGCCCGCGTGGAGGCGAAATTGTCTTGTCTTGTGTTTGTGTTCACATGTGGTTGCATTGTGTTTTATACTCTCATGTGCCGTGTTGCTATATTATTTCGATTCTAACGTTAAGTAAGTGTTTTATGTTGACAGACAATGGTTTGACACTGCGTATACATTTGGTTGCCTGCGTATTGGCGACATCGTCCTGTCTTGTGTTTGTGTTCGTATGTGGTTGCTTTATGTTTTATACTCTTATGTACCGTGTTGCCTTATTATTTCGATTATAGCGTTAAGTAAGTGTTTTATGTTATCTGGTGTATACCAGTGCTGCGTGTGTGCTAATTGGTAAATGCAGATTGTCTCCCATGCAGAGGTAAATGGATTAGCTTGCTAGTTAGGGTCTGACATTAAATAACAATCTAATGTATCAAAACTTTTTCAACTTTCAGCATAAAGAGCGTATTTGTTTGCAATTTGTTGCCTTAATCAATACTAAAGCTATTTGGATATCAGGTATGCAGTTATAGGCGACTGTCCCGACTCTCGTGCGGCAGTCAGTGAATAAATATTTATCAGTGTCTACCTTTGGCCCTTATGGTTATTTTAGCATTTACTGCACATTCAATTGGTAATTTAGATACTGCATCATGTATGCGGAATAGATGCGGACTGCATGCAGCTGTTAAAACATAGGTTGCGGGCTATTCCTTAAAAAAAAAAAAATTTAAAAAAAAATATTTTTTTTGTTCGCATTGAAATTGTATTAACTGAGAACATGTGTAAAAGCCCCTAAGTATTCTTTATATGTATTGAAGCTCAGTTGAGAAACTGCTCAAGTGTCCAGAATTGCACGTGAGCTTGCTTATAGGTATAGTCCCGCAGTTGTCAGCGGTGCATGTTGAGCTGAATTATAGAACTGTAAGCTATCTGCATACCGGATCGGTGCGGTCCCTCAGGGTGTCGGTCTTCCGTCTGTCCACCCCTTGGACTCAGGCCCCCGCGGGGCGCTCTGCAATGCCGTGGGCACTCGGGGTCCGGGTCAGTCCATGAGACCCCCCACAAAAGTCCCAGCACTCTCCGTCCCCTGCACCTCCCCAGCGTCGTTTGCGCTGCCAGATAACATCTGGGCCCGCGAGTCTCACCCGGCGCAGGCCTCACACTTAGAGCCGGTGCGCCTCCTCCCTCCCGGCCACCGGTAAACCGGAGGGGTTCAGAGCCCTCTGGCCCCACAGGACTCACTGCGTCGGGGACATCCTTCTCCGAGCCACCCAGAAACCCAGATGCAGGGTCCAGTATCGTCACCAGGGGGCAGGCCCTCCGAGGTGTCCGTCCGTGGGCCGACAGCCGTCGGGGCCCCTCGAGCCTCATACAGAAGCCTCCACATAAAGGTAGGTAGTTCACTTTGTGCGTGCTTGTATTCCATCTGCCCTTATCTGCTGGCGGGCTGTTCCTGGGAGCCTTTGCCAGTGTAGGTGATCGACCCTGCGGGCCTCCGTCGCCACGGAGATCATCACCATGTGGCCGGGATAACCCCCACCGGCCTGGGGGGGGAGCGGGGCCGCGCCGCCCGCCGGGCCCATCCGTTCAGCTTCGGGTCCGGGTCTCTTTTTCAACGTTCGCCCCGCCGGGCCGCTTCGCCTTTCCTGCCTCCCTCCATGTGCGGCCGTGTTTGCCATGTTTGCCTGATTTTTGCTTTTTGCTCTCTTGGTGCGGGATTGGCCCCATGTAGGTATCCTACTGGTGCAGGGTGCGTGCATTATCGTTCGGTTACCGGGGTGTCCCCTTTTTGATGCTGCGTGACCACTTTTGAAGTCATTTTTTGGGGATCATGGGACAGAGCTAAGGCTCATGGCTGCCATCCAGCTCGGCGGCCCGGCCCCGCCCCCCGAAGCCATGAATTATGATATGCACCAGGCAGGGTGGGTCAGCCAAATGCTGGGCATTCTCATGGGGAGCCCCCATCTAGCAATATATATATGATAGTAGTGTTTTTATGGAGTTGGTGAGGGAGAAGTACTCCAGGGTCTGCTCTAATGTTACTTAGGAACGTGATGTAATCGTGTTCAACGTCAATATCTATATATGCAAGTTTTTAAAACAATTTTTTTTTTGTTATTAAATGATAATTATTTTTATGTTTATATATTTAAAAAAAAAAATTTAAGTAACTGTATTGAACATTGAGCCTGTGAGTCTGTGTAACAGTGTCCATAAGGGTCCCGCTGTGTCTTGTGTACAGCATTGTCAGGGGAAGCTAGCCTGGTTATTGGAGGTTTAGTGATGAGGTATGGGGCTGCCTGTTAGTAGTCTTAGATGGGCTGTTCCGTTAGGGGCTGCGCAGCCTGGAGTGGCCACGGGTATCTAATTGGACGGGCTTCTGGCTCTACTGTCATCAGCATTCCTCAGGGGCTTACTGGTTAACTCGGAAATATATGGGATTACATCTCAGGATTGGTGTTATCAGGGCAATATGGATAGTGAGTGCCTGTGTAAAGGCTAAAGCCCGCCCCCCTTTTAATTAATTAATTTATTTATTTTGTTATGTGCTGTCCAGGGCCGGACTGGGAGAAAAATTCGGCCCGGGCATTTTTTTAACACAGCGGCCTACTAAAAAGGGGGCGGGGCAGAGGAGGTGTGTTTTGTCATCACCAATGACAAACACGCCTCCTCTCAAAGTGAGCATGTTGGTTCAATGCTCTTCCAGGGCAGACCATGCGCAGAGCTCTGCTGAAGAGCTCTAGCATGAGAAAAAAGTCCTGTATTTGTTCTGCACAGTGCAAGCAAATTTAATAACATGCTTGCACTGTGTTTCCTTGCAACTTGTCTCTGGTGTCTCTATAAATGGATACCAGGAGACAAAAGGCCAGGAAAGAGTATTGTGCATGTGTTTGGAGCCTGCTTGTGGTATTGCGTGTGTGTAGAGTGAGCTGGTCGTGGTGTGGTATTGTGTAATAAGGTCGGTTTTAGTCGTGTTGTGTTTGTGGTGTAATGTGATGCATATGTGGCTCAGGGACCCCCTCCCGCCCGGCTCTGGAAAGGGGTTAAAACTTACCTTTTTCCAGCGCCGGGCGGGGAGCTCTCCTCCTCCGATCCGCCCCGTCGGCTGAATGCGCACGCGCGGCAAGAGCTGCGCGCGCATTCAGCCGGTCGCATAGGAAAGCATTTATAATGCTTTCCTATGGACGCTTGCGTGCTCTCACTGTGATTTTCACAGTGAAAAGCACGCAAGCGCCTCTAGCGGCTGTCAATGAGACAGCTGCTAGAGGCTTTGGGGGAAGGCTTAACCCATTGATAAACATAGCAGTTTCTCTGAAACTGCTATGTTTATAAAACAATGGGTTAACCCTAGAAGGACCTGGCACCAAGACCACTTCATTAAGCTGAAGTGGTCTGGGTGGCTAGAGTGGTCCTTTAAGAGTGTAGTGTGTGTATATATATATATATATATATATATATATATTTGAAAGTATGTGTGTGGTGCAGTGTGTTGGGGGGGTTCTGTGTGTATGTGAGGGTGCGGTGTGTGTGTGAGGGGTGCGGTGTGAGTGATGGGTGTGGGTGTGAGAGTGCCGTATGTGAGGGTGCGGTGTGTGAGAGTGCCGTGTGAGAGTGCCGTGTGAGAGTGCTCTGTGAGAGAGTGCTCTGTGAGAGAGTGCTCTGTGAGAGTGCTGTGAGTGTGATGGGTGTGAGGGTGCTGTGAGAGAGTGCTGTGTGTGTGAAAGTGCTGTGTGTGTGAGAGTGCTGTGTGTGTGAGTGCTGTGAGAGTGCTGAGAGTGTGATGGGTGTGAGAGTGTTGTGTGAGAGAGTGCTGTGTGTGATGGGTGTGAGAGTGCTGTGTGTGATGGGTGTGAGAGTGCTGTGTGTGATGGGTGAGAGAGTGCTGTGTGAGAGAGTGCTGTGTGTGATGGGTGTGAGAGTGCTGTGTGTGATGGGTGTGAGAGTGCTGTATAAATGTTATTGTGTGTGTGTGTAGGGGGGGTTAATTAAAAAAAAAAATTAAAAAAAAAACAGTCATTATTCCCCCCCCCTCCCTTCTTACCTTTAGCCTGGGAGAGGGGGGGGGGGACTGGCACGCTGGCACCTGGCAGGCGGGGTGGCGGGGTTCCCTGGTGGTCCTCGTGGGTAAGTGAACTCTCGCGAGATCCGGTCGTTGCCATGGCAACGCGCCGGATCTCGCGAGAGGAGCCCGGCGGAGCTGCAAATTAGAGCTCCGCCGGGTCCTCTCTCCAGCCTGGCTGGCTGGCTGGCTCCCTTCCTCCCCGCCGGCGGCCGCATGTGGGCCGGTGAGAGAGAGCTTTGATCTCCCCACCGGCCCGTCGTGGCAAACAGCGGGGCCGGCGCTGGGAGAGTGCCGGCCCTGCATAGACCGGCAGGGGAGATCCTGGGACCTCCCCTGCCGGCCTCGGCCCCACGGCCACCGCGGCCCACCGGGCATTTGCCCGGTGTGCCCGATGGCCAGTCCGGGCCTGGTGCTGTCTATGAGCTGCATAAGGTTTCCCACCAAGTGCCCTGTGATGTACATAAATTTTGGTCTGTTTCACCTCACACTCTCCTTCGTAAAAAAGGGGTGATCCCGCATGCCATCGCCCCCCCAGTGTGACTCTGCTGCTGTGGTCTATGTTGAGAAATGTCTCTCTTGGGTCACCAAACTCTGGCAGCTGTGTGTGTAGTGATCTTGCCTTTGTGGCTCTTGCCCGTTCTCCTGCCGCATACCACTCTCTAGGGCGTAATGGAAGTGTAGGATAATGTCCCTTGGCACTTGGCCCTCTTTTCTCATTGCTTGTAGGGATCTATGCACTTGGTCTATCACCATTCTTTCTTTTGGGATGTCAGGCAGCAGGTGCTGGAAGTAGTCCTCATTTTCTGCAGTAGCGGGCCTTCATTAGGCGCTTTCGGCAGGCCTCGTATCCGCAAGTTGCGCCTAGAGCAGTTGGACAAGTCCTAACCTCTCTAGGCTGCTGAGCTGTTGTTCCTTTAGGGTGGAGTGCTACACTACTGAGTTGTGTGGCTTCACTACTGGTTAAACCCTGTGTTCCATGTCAGTTGTGCACTTCCCCAGGGCCTGAATCTTGGCCTTGACCTCCTGCTAGGTAGGATCTCACCTCCGATAATTTGGAAAGTATCTGGGTAGTATCGCCAGGTTGTGAGACCCGGTCACTTTCTGCTGTTGAAGCTGGAGACCCTGATTGGCTCAAGTCCGCCCTGCGGCCATCTTGCACTGCCTGTGAGGATCGAGATGCCGCGAACATGTCGGTGACGTTTTTGGAGAAATCCTGCTTCTCTCCTCATTTCTTACGTCGTGGCTTAGATCCGGAGCCTAGGTAAGACATGTTGGCAGCTTCTGTGTTTGTGAGCTGCGATGCTGTTTGCAGGTGTGTGATTGCTTATGGATGCACGGGAGCTCTCAAGCTATGCGGCCATTAAGGTTGGCTGCCAAACCACGCCCCTCATTGTCACAACAATTTTAAATTGAAATTGCCCTTTCTAGAGTTAAGGGTTATTAATTCGAGGGCCTGAAAGCTAAGGTGGGAAACTTTATTATTGTGTATTCTACGGACGTGGTTTGCCACTGGTGTGGTAATGTTTAGATTATCTTGGTGGGATGTGCTGCATAACTGACAGTACAGGGAGAATTTGGGGGCATTAAGGGGTGCCCACGAAGGCACACTAGGGAAAGTTTTATCCAGATAGATCTACCCCCCTCCTCTTTTCCCATATTAACCTCCTATACGATCTGATACTGTTATCTTTATACCGTTGGACACATTGTGGCACCACCAAGCGAAAAAGTTACCTTTGTAGTTTGGTAGCTAGTCACATTTAATGTTAATGATACTGTTATCTTTAGACTGTTGGATACATTGTGGCACCACCAAACATAATATTTACTTTTGTAGTTTGTTAGCCAGTCACATTTATGTTTAAATCTGTGAGCTTATGTAGATCTGTTAGAGGTGTAGTCACTTCTACAGGCTGTTTTAATTTATAGTGTGTTTAATCTTTTTAAGAGGGCATCCTGGAAATCATGCTATTACCGTTTCCCCATCACACACCTGATTGTTTGTTGTCACTTTTTTATCCTTTGTTTATTTTTATTTTTTTAATTACAAATTGAGTCCAGTAGTGGGTGGACTCTTTTACCAAGCATTCAGTAAAAGTTAAGTTTTAATGATTCACTTATAGACAGTATTCCACTATGATACTCATTAGCTGCCTTTTTGCATCCTCCTATTCTCTTTCTTTGTCGTTTTGCTAACTTTATATAGGGGTTACCCCCCAGCTAGGAGGACTTGTAGACAAGGCTCCAGCCTTCTCTTTCTTTCCTTTTTTTTAGGGTTAAGAACTTCAGACAGTACAACCCCCTCCCAAGCAGCTCAAGCCAGCCTTGATCAATTTGCCCAAACTGGTTCTGCTGCACCTGACCACCTTTGTCTTTTTTTAAAGAAACTTGAGCCCATTTGAAGCCATCTTTCCTTTGTCTGCTAAATCTAGTGCTACCCATGCCAATTATGGAACTTTCATTACCATCTGACAAATATTATTTTGTCAACAACACAGAACCTAAACTACAAACTTTACGTCTCAGGACAGTAAAATCATTACTTACAGGAGAACTACCTACATGAGCCCATAACGTAAATGGAACACTAACTAACAATAACATAAATTTACCTATTTGTAATGTTAGTGTTCTGTCATTTTAGATTACAAGCCACCTTTATTTATTTTTTGCTCACAAAAAAAATCCAGTGCCGGGCAGTCTCTGTTGGGTAGCCACTCTTCCACTCCTGAAATGAACTTTACAATTGATCACTGGCCCAATCCAATTACGAGAAGCACTGGTCCTCTGTTACAGGTGTACATGTTTTCCTTCCATTGTAAAAAGCAATGGGGACTGTGACAGAACCATCTGTCTGCTGGATTTTTGCCCGTTCGTCTGTTTGTCCCCGTTCGTATGAATGGCTGGTTTCTATAGCCCAGCCATTCGAATGACTCTTTTTCCCGAACAAAACCGCCGAACGAACGGCCACCCAAGTGAGGAGTGTGCTGCAGGTTAACGAAGTGATCACCATTATAACGTTGTGGTTAACCGCAGACACTTCTCAATTAAACCGAACTCAGGGTGGTCGTCGTTCGTATGTCGACCACGAGGCAGCGGCCATTTTAAATCATGCGAACGCTCAGCGGTGTTTGGCTCTATTTCTATGGAACGGAAAACGGACACTTTTTCTGTCGAACACCGCTGAAACAAGGGAACGCCTGGCTGCCTCCACGAAAGCATGCGAACATCGGCCGTTCGGGAGATTGAGAACATACAAAAGACTTAACCCAGATAGCCCACCCATGGAGTCATTCGTGTACCGAAGGACTGTAAGAACTTTGACTCCATGGCGATTGAACTATGTGTGTGGGATCTGAGCGCTATTCGCCAATAATATGCACTCAGACCCAGGCTATCTGGGGACATGTAATACGAATGGGAAATGTTCAGTTTTCATGTAGTTATGCATTTTTGTGTCTTTTATTATTTCATGTTTAAGATGGCGACTGTCCTTGTCCTGGAGTTAATTGAGTTACTTGGTAATTAACTCCAGGACAGAGGGGAGGGAATCAGAATGCACTGTGGGTAAAATATGTGACTGTGTGTCAGAAATGTCCTTCTATCTGTCTGTACTTTAAGTCTTCCATTTGGTCCCCTAGGGGAGTGTCCACCAGGTGGGAGACCTGCATAAATACGGGCAGGTAGCCCACAGTAAACCCAGATCTTATTTGACCCTCAATGCGGAGCTTCTGTCTCGTTATTGGGGGGATTTCTTCTTCACGTTTAGAGACTGCTGGATGGAACGAAAGCCGCTTTGGGGATATTATTGTTCGACGGTTCCTAGCAGTTCGTATATTGCCGTTCGGGAGTTTGGAGCCGTTCGTGGATTTCGATCGGGAGATTGCCGCTTCCCCTGCATTTGGTTCGTGGGTTACAGAGTAAGCGAACAGAGACTGTACTGCAGCCGGGGAAGGTTTACTAAACGGCGGTTTGGCTTAAAGACACGGGAGGTGTCTTAACAATTGGTGGCAAGCGACGGGATGAATCCTACAGCATTGGAGGTCAGCTATAAGAGATGCAGTACGAGGAATTAAGGCGTGCTACACTTAAGGACATATTGGAACGCCGAGGAAGGTCAGCAAGCAATTTAAAGAAACGGGAGATTATTGCTTTGCTAATGGAGCAGCAGAGGTACCGTATGACAATAATGTGGTTGCTAGAAAAAAGGTACCTTTTGCTGCGTTTAAAAATTTTGTGGAAACAGAGGGAGAGATTGATGGATTTTTGGCAGACTTTGAGAGGCAGTGTGCGCTACATCAGGTACCTGCAGATGAATGGGTCACCATCCTCTCTGGGAAATTATCTGGCCGGGCTAGTGAAGCTTTTCGGGCCATCCCAGAGGAGGAGATCACCAGCTATCGGGCTGTGAAAGAGGCGCTCCTAGCCAGGTATGCAGTAACCCCAGAGGCGTACAGGCGGAGGTTTAGAGAAACCAACAAGCTGGTTGGGGACTCTTATGTGGAATGGGCCTGCAGAGTCCATCGTACCGCAGCCCACTGGATGGCTGGATGCCAAGCGGTAACTGGGGAGGAGGTGTTACAAGTGTTCCTGCTGGAGCACTGCTTTGATAGACTACCTGCTGGGGTCCGGGAATGGGTCAGAGACAGAAAACCCTCTACCCTACCCGAGGCTGCCCGTCTGGCAGACGAATACACGGATGCCCGCAAGTTGGATGGTACAGCTGCTAAAGCCCCTGCCAGACTGGAGTATCGACCAGCAGTAACACCCGCTCCTGCAGTCTACCAACCCCCAGTACACCGTACCCCAGCCGCACCACCAGCTAACAATTATATGCAACCAGCCCGATTTAATGCCCGGGAGTACTCCCAACCCATCCGG